AGTAATTTGCTCTTTAACATCCAAAGCAAACTTTCTGCTTAAACACAGACGGGACACTGCAGCAAAAGGAGATGTGACAAGTTTTCCGGAGGCCACTTTCTATTTGCAAGATCTTCTCAATCATCCACATGCTTTATCCTGGACTAGGGAAGCATTAAGATCTTCCAGTCTCCTGAGAGACTAGACCAGAGTCAAGGGCAACCTAGCTGCCTTCTAAAGCTCCTTGCAAGGTCTGTTCTGGCCATGCCATTCAGGGCTTCTTGGATTTAAATCCACGTGTTCAAAGGAATACTTTAAGGGGCTCATATCCAACTGCAAGGCCTCATGTGTTCCTCAAAAGCAAATCACATGAGTGCTTAATCTGTCAGCATAGGCACCATCACATACCGGTCCAGATATGGCTTCCTCTTTCACTTGGATCCCGTTGCACAGAGTTGAGTCAAGACTATTGCCTTCTGCAGCCTCTTGCTTTAGAGAACTTCTTGGCAAAAAAGAAAAAGTGAAGAGAAAATGCAAAGTTTTTTCTCCATTAAAAAAAAATAAAAAAGATTAAAACAACTCAAGGAAAATAGAGCTATCTCTTCTCTCCATGCAGCATCCTGGATCTCCAGCAGCTTCTTCCGCAAAGACACCCAAAATCTTCTCATACATCTCACACCTCTCCTTGAGACCCCATTCCCACTGAGCAATTGCATCAACTAGGGCAGAGTTGGGGAAAACAAGTCTATGGATCAAACTAGGAAAACTCCATCCCATTCTGTCCCAAAGATTCCAACATAAGCACTGGGAGAGAGATCCAGAGCCACCCTCAGCATCCCAGGAGATCACCCTTTCTGCTGGATGTGCCCAAGGGCTTCCAACACCTCCCCAGCCGCCCCTTCCAGTCCCACTTTTAGCAAAAACATGGGAAAAACTACCTGGTGATGACATTTTCCTGCAGTGGCTTCTCCTTCACTTTGGGTGTTCTCTTCTTCTGTTTCGAGGCAGGAGGCTGCACTCAGGCCAGAAGAAGAGAATAGTTTAGAAGGAATAAAAGGAATAGAAGGGAATAGTAGTAGACAGACAGGGCACAAAAGTTGTTGTACTTGTGCCCAGTGGGATCAGCTCCAGGGTCACCTTCAAAGTCCACACAGGGAGCGTGGCCAGCAAGATGCCTCCTACCTGATCTGTGCATGGAGTTTCCTCCTGCTCCTCCTTCACAGCCTTTCTTTTGGGCATCTTTGGCACATTCCCTCCCTTTTCCGACTCGCTCTTGCGTTTCCTGGAGAAAAGTCATTCCATGAGCAAAGGCATCCCATCATTACCACGGCCAACCAACATCTCCCAGTTTATGGCAAAGCTGCAAATACCCCCAAGATGAGCTATGAAACCACATTGCCAAGCCCTTATGTCTAGCAGCACCAAAAAAAAAAAACATCCCTAAAATGAAGTTGGGAGCATCTATGCCAGGGAGTTCGCAGCGTCCTATTTTATGGACAAGCTGCCTTACAGATATCATGCGTTCACTTCAAGTAGAGTTACATAAAGCTTGGAGATCCCAAGCCCTTCTTCCTGCATCCCACTCAGGATAGCAAATTGTACCCACCGACTGATGCTGTTCTTCATCTCCACCCGTATCTTCATGCCCCTCGCCTTCGAGACCCCCATGGCTCTTTGTAAACAGGCACAGGGCTAATTCAGCATTCCCCAAAGATAACTGCAAGCAAGATGCAGCCAACAGCACCAAGGTTTTGCTCTCATAGGCAGCTCTGCCAAGGGGGTTGCTCCAGACTCAGTCCTGAGGTCCAGAGCTACAAGGAAGGATTCCTAAGGACTCCCCACCAAAATCATTGCTTCTACTTGGAAATTTGATCCAGGAAATGTAAGCAATAAAGCTATATCTGAAATAACAACTAGGTGTTCCCCATCCACAAACAGGGAAAGAGACTTCACCTTCTAAGGAAAACCAGCAATTTTCAAGGATAAAAACACAAACCATGAAGTAAAAGGAGAGGCCCTGCAAACTTTTCAGAAAATAAGGAACCAGACTGAAAACCTTTGTGCTTTATCAGCCCTTCCATAAGTAGTTTCAGCTGCTAGATCTCCACACTCACCTCGTGCTGCTTGAGTTGCTCCCTTGCTGCTGCTGAGGTTGGAATGAGATCTCAGCTACCTCCTTAAAGCCAATGCCCCCCCTCACATGGAGCGTATTTCAAGACTCCCTTAGCCCTGATTGGAGGCCCCCAGCCCAAGATGCATCCTGGGAAATGAAGTTTTAGCCTGAAAGATGAATTTTAGGAGACCCAGGGGTCAACATCTCTTCTGCAAGGGTTGTTGCTGGGTAGAAAGCACTTTGCACCACTCAGAGATTGGGGACTTCCAAAGAGGATCCAAGAACCATGGTGCAAACAGCTTAGAGTCTTTCCCTTTGGAGAAAGATATCACTCCTGTAGCTAGGCAATTAAATTGCTCACAAATATTGGACTTGCTCAGCTGCCTCTCACCCAGTCCCATCTCAGGATGGTCCCTGAGCACAAGCCTTGGAGCTGGAAGCCAGAAGCTACAGTCCATCACCCTTGCACTAAACTCTTTGCACCACCCTGTTCCCCCTCTCTCCCAGCCCTATTCATGCAGAGGAGTCTATTGCTTGCACCTGTGGTGTTTGCTATCAGGAACCTCCTATCAGCTGAGCCTCGAAATGGGACTTTCTATCCTCAACCAGCATTAAGGCAACACATGGCATTGCAAGGATGCCAGGAAGAAGTGCTGAGTCCTCCAAGCCTCTTCTCCATAGGGAAATTTCTCCCACTCTGCACAGCACCATGCGCTTCAATCCACTGGCATGCAAGTGTTCCCAGGCCAGCAACACCCTGATTTTTAAGGAAAGGAGAAGCAAAGGAATGGCCACATATCCACCTCTCCAGTGTGGACCAGTAGCGGGCTGCGTGTTCCCCTGGTCCAAGGTTGAGCCTGGTTGCAGACCGGGAGCAAGAAGTCGCCCTGGGCAGGACTGGCTGTGGGAGGGCTCCTTTGATCCCAGTTGCGCCATCCATGGAAAATGCATCTAAGCTACTTTTCTTGATGGATGAGTAAAAGCCGTCCAGGGGGTGGGAGCTGGCCGCGGGGCAGGGAGCAGGCGAGGACTTCTTGCCAGGGCTTGTTCGCTCTAGGCCTCCTTCCGCTGGGTGACAGAGGTGCAGAGCCAGCATATCATGGGTTTTCCTCTTTGCTTTCTTCTTTTTTTGCCCTGGATCCTGTAGAAATTTATTCACCTGGTTCCTGGTTGAGAGGTTCTCCCAAGTTGTCCCGCCAAAACACAACCTACCTCAACCCCATTGATAATCAAGATATTTTTATACATCTCGATGTAACATCAAGATGTTTTCCCTTTGCAAGGGCCAAAGCTTTTTGTAAAGGACGAAACTGGGGAGGTAGGGAGCAGCATTGCTCCGTCCAGGGCTCTTCCACCAGCAAAACCAATCCGGGTTGCAAACAGGTCCCCAATGTGCCCAAGACGCTGACAACCACAAGAGTTGCATTGGTGGCAATAACCTGCAAGGTGCTAGTGCAGATCAGGCTGAGCACGGCTCCCTTGTCAGCAGAAAGTGAACTAGAAAGACATAATGGCCCCAGAAAACTGTGCAGAGGAGCAGGAGCCAGCCATGCATTTGGGCAGCATCATAGCAGTAGCAATTGAACTGACAACTCGTGTATATTTAGAGTATTAGAGGGTATTTTAAGGAAGAGAAATGTCATTTCCGTGCTTCGTGTTTCTCAACAACCCTTTTTATAGGAAGTGCTGAGACTGGGACCCTTTTGCCCTTCTGCAAAGTCGCCCCTTGGGACCTTTGGTCTTCCAGGATCGCAACCCCTTCAAGAAAACTCCAAGGAAGAGACAAAGAATAACTTTGGGAAAGGAAAAAAAGGGAAGTGGCTTAGCCAAATCACGCTGTTATGAATCACGCACTGCAAACAGTTGAACGCACGTTGCACTCATTTTCTTTCCCTCCTTTGTTAAATACCCTGTTGGTAACAAATCAGAGTTGTCACAATCAAGTGCAAGTCTCATTAGGCTTATTTTAAAAAGAAAATAGGTTCAAGTGGGACCCTTGTCGGGTGACATGCACCAGCACACAGCCCCAGCAGATGCTGAGCCAGCTCCTGCATCCAGCTGCTGCTCCAGATGTTATGGTGTCTGAACAGCCTGGTGTAGCACAGGGTGACGCAGAGGGGGGCAGTTTGGACACTGCTTTAGTGTCAAAAGCAGCAGGATAGACCTTGCTTGGAGCGGGGCGGGGGACGACAACTGCGGCTTCATTGCACCCCTTCCACAGCAGCCCAGATGTTGCGGGAGGCGGGGTGGCAAAATCCAGGGGTTGTGCGGGGTGAGGAAGGTGCAAGGATGCAGGTAATGCAGGGGATTTGGGGGGGTGGGCAGGGGCGGGAGGGGGCGCCCAGATGTGGAGAGCGCGTGAGCGGGTGGGAGGGGGCGCCCAGATGTGGAGAGCGCGTGAGCGGGTGGGAGGGGGCGCGCTAGGGGGCGGTGCGCCCAGATGTGTCCGAGGGGGGGGCCTCGAGCACGCCCCGCCCCACGGCGCCGCGGCCCCGCCCCTCCCGTGACGTCCTCGGCGTTCTAATTCCCACCGTTGCCACGGGCGATGCCCCGCCCCCGGCTCACCTCGAACTGCTCCTTCCCCCTCCTCGCCCCCTGCCGCGCTCCCATTGGACAATGCAGCCGTCCGTCACCGAGACTCGCCTCTCCCATTGGCCGCGGCCGCGCTTGGCCCCGCCCCTCCGCGCTGCTTATGCCCCGCGCCGGCTCCGCGCTCGCTCCTCGGGGCCGGTTCTGAGGCCGCGGCGGCTCCTGCGGCTCCTCGGGGGCGTCCCGGGGCTTGACCCGGTACCGAGCAGCGCGTATCGCGGTCCCCTCGGCCTTTAGGGCCGGCTGCACGCGAGGTCTGGGGGCGGCGGCGCCTCTAAAGGGTCTGGGGGCAGCAGGGCCTGGGCCCGGCCTGGGGTTTAACCCCTCCCCACAAGGGCTTTTTTGGGGAGTCCTCCCTTTCTGGGGGAAAAATCTACTCTTTTAAATTTTTTGGGGGATAAGGCACCTTACCTGGGGGTGCCCCCCATAAAAGCTTTTCTGATACTTAGTTTTGCCCCATTTTGGGGATGCACCCCACCAAGAGTTTTGGTGGCACTTAAGTTGGACACTTTTGGGGGTGATTCCCCCTTTTAAGGATTTTTTTTTTCTCTTTGTAAGGTTGGTGCATTTCCACCTTTTTTGGGGGTGATTCCCCTTAGGGGGTTTCAGGGTACTTGACTTTGCCCCCTTTTTTTGGGGGTGAACCCCCCCTTTTTAAGGCTCTCTCCTGGGGCCTGCGGATGCCCGTCGGCGGCGATGCTGGCCCCCGCCGAGGAGCGCCCGGACGGTGCCACCGACGGTGACGCCGGCGTCGCGCTCCCGCCGGCGCCCAAGAGCGGCAGCGCCCGCAAGGTGAGGCTGGTGGCGGCAAGGGGACACTGTGGGTGACGTGAGGACCCTCCCAGGGGGACACAAGTGTCTTTAGGGGGTGGTTTGGGCCTGTCCTGGTGCCCACATCTTGCTGGGGACCTTCTCCTGTTGCTCCAGTAGCCCACAACCCATCTCCTCTTACTCCCTATTCCTCCTCCATCCTCCTTGCTTCCTCCTTGCAGCCTCCTTTGCAAGCCTCCTGCAGCCTCTTCTTTCCACCTGTCTAACACTCCTCTCTGTTGGCTTTTCCTCCCTTTTCTTTTTTTTGTTCCTTTTCACCTCTAGGAAGCCAGGTCAACCCGCTGGAGCATCGTCTCCTCTCCTGCTTGCTGCCGGAGGTAACCAGCATGCAAAGGAAGCCCGTGTGTGGGAGCGAAATGCGGCTGATAAACCCCCTGGTGTCACTCATAACCGCAGGGTGAAGCCAATGGGGGTTGTTCCAGGGTTGACACCAATCCATGGGGCTCAGTGTGACTTTCCACGGTGTTCCCTGAGTGCTTCAGGGAGTGCTGGTGACTCTACAGCAGTGATAAGGCAGGTGAACATTAGCTTACAGGTCTGCTTTAAGTGTCTGCCGTTAGCCCTGTCCTCTGGGAAGAAGCTTTAGAGACCTTGCAGTAAATTCTCCTTGTAATCCAATGCCTTTTACAAGGATATAATTTTAAAAACTTGTTCTCCAGCGGAGAGTCAGTGCTCTGAGCTCTTTCTGCAGCCCTGTGGCAAGGAAAAGAAAAACCTCTTTCATGCTCTGGAGGTGTCTTTTTCTCCAGTGCGAGGGTTGAAACTGCAGCTTGACAAGGATCAATCTGATCTCAAGTCACCTGTGCTAATGTCCAGCCTTTCTGACATCAGCTAAAGAGGCTGCAACCTTAAACCGGGTTGGAGCTCACCCAGAGCCTTGTCTAAACAGTAGGTGCTGCTTGCAGGGCAAGATCAGCAGGGCATCTCTTCCCCTGTGTGAGCAGTTGGTTTGCCCAGTTTGAGCCTCTTGGATGGTAACATGGAAGAGAATAACATAGGAAAATGTTGCAAACCATTTAAAAAAATTAAAAAAGCTGGCAGAGGATATGGAGCATCTGTCATAACATGATAATTTTTTTGACTGAAAAAAGCACCTGATTAGATTTCCTATTAGCCATGTCAGTTTAGAGACAGGGGAAAAAAATCGGTCCTGGATAGTCGTTTTTGTTGTGCACATTGGAGGCTGTGACTTCTGGTGTTTATTGTTTTGGCAGAGGATTGTGAATATTGCTGTTATCTTCTGCTGGGGTTAACGTGCTGTAGCCCAGGATTTAATACATCTGTTTCCTGCTGGCACTCTGCCCTGTGTTTCATGACATGCAGGCAACCCTGGGCATCCACCCATCTCCCTGGAGCCGCTGCGGGTTTCGAGAAAGGAAAGTGTGGATTTGGATTTGTGCAGGTCAAGCTGTTTGAAAAGCCAAATACTTTTTTTTTTTTTTTTTTTTTCTCTCCTTTTAATTCCCCCCTCCTTGTTGCTTTTGCTCAGTGCATTAGCCGACAGCCAGGACATTTCTTTGGGAAGTTTAAAACCCTTAATCCTCTGCTCATTTGTTAAAAGGCCGTGTGATGTAACCATATTCTCTATAAAGGTTTTAGAGGTCTTAGCTGGTAATGTCTCCCACAGGAAAAAAACGGCGTTCAGCTGGAGTGCTTCAAGAGATTAGTTTCACAATAGCAATTTTTATATGTAAACAGATGTTTGTGGTGGTGGCGGCTCTGGTAACCTACCTGTTGTCTTAGTGGCAGCCTGTGCTTTGAAAAAGAGCTTGGTTGGGAGGAAAATTATCCATAATCTTTTTAAAAGAAGGATTTGGGATTGTTTTTCTGCGCATGGAGGGGTCTCCTGGGTTTTATTTTGCTCTTGCTGGCTTGCTAACGTGGGTTAAACCAAAGTCACTCGTCCCCTTGCTCTGTGTTGTTCTTGTTCAGAAACTCGGGGACTGTAAAGAACATTAGCAACCTCAGCTGATGCTCTGGCTCTGTGGAGATATTGGTGTTTACACTCTAGCAGTGTTCAACATGAGCTGCAAATCAGGAGTGTAGCTTGATACGATGGTTAATTGTCCTCTTTGCTGTCAGTTCTACATCTGCAAACCCTGCTTAAAACATCAATTTTTGGGGGGATAAAACTTTCTATGTGTCTATGTCAGAAAATGAAGCTTTGAATCACCCCTTGTAGGCGACTGCTGGATGAAATTTGGAGTAAGAGCAGGCTGAGGTTACCCCTTTTCCACAACCCAAATCCCACAAGTGTCTCCATTAATAACAGTGGTGGCTTGTGTACTATGGCAGTGAAATATCAGCTCTTCCCAGCACAACCTGTCATGTGTCTGCAGATGTTAGTGTCACCTCTGAGCTCTTGTCTGCAAGCAGGAATTCCACTTTTTCTAACTATAGCACCAGTGTTGATCTTCTGGATCTGCACTGCACAGGATTTGAGAATGAAGAGCGTAACAGCTTCCTTTCACTTGCACTGCAGAATGTGCACTGGGTCTTCTCTGAATGTCTGCTGAATTAAGTTTGCTTTTCACTGATGTTTTCTGACCTTTCCAACTCCTGACTTTGAATTGTTTTTTCATCATTCCTGCTGGAGTTGCTGGGAATGATTTCCGAACAAAAACTGTTGGGTTTTCTTGAGCTTTAGCCCTTATTGTGCTATTAAATGTAAACTAGTGATGCCGATTAATGACTGGTGTTGGATTCAGTATGAGCTTGTTGCCAAAGGCAAGACTTACTAAAATGAGAGCCCTGAAGGATGGAGATCTTCAGAGTTAGCACCAAAATGAGTACAGCACTAGCTTTTCCAATGGCTCTGGTCCATGGTCCTGCCTGAAGGATGGATACCTCTTGAATGGAAGGAGGACTGAGGTGACATGAACCATTCCTTCCACAAAATCTGCTGTGGCTGCCAGATTCTGTGGTATCTAGAGTGTTCTCCTTATGGCTATCAGGTGTAAAATGGATTGCTGAGCTCTTCTTGTAGCCTGCTTTGCTCAGGTGCTCTGTTTTCTGTTGTGGTCGTGTTGTGCATATAGAAATAGCACCTGGAGTAGCTTCTGGATATAGCTGGGATAGAAGAAGATGAGACAGAGGTGAGTCATGGAGAGCCAGACCTGAGTAGATCTCCTGGAATTTTGTCCAAGCCGTATATTCCTGCCTGGGGCATGCAGCCTAAGCAAGTGATTGGTGCCGTGGAGGAAGATGATGATACTTAAGAGAGGTTGACTGGGTGAAATCACCCCTGTGTTGCCTGACAGGGGAATTGAACCACATCCTGTCATTTCCCTGGAGGAAAGGCTGGGAAGTAACACTTTGATGCTTCTTTACTTCCTCCCTTAGAAGAAAAATGTAATAACCTGTCTGGTGCCTCAAAGGGATAATTTATAAAATTCTTTTTTTTAAGAGAAATTCCCCAAGACTGAGGGTCATATGCAGAAAGTCTGGGGTAATATGTAAGCATAGCAATATAAGCTGAGCCTCATGGCTCACTGTAAATGCAGTTGGTCCATGCTGAAGAGCATGACAACCTCATGGCATCCAGCATCTCCTGAGTCAGTCCAAGCAGTGGAAACAGTTGATCTGATCCTGATACTTATCCAAATTTCCTAAGTTCTGGTTGTTTCTGGCCTTAGAAAACTGTATTGTCTTTTTTTTAGGGGGGGATCAGTACATAGAGTGAGTGAAGTTCCACGTCTGTGTGTTATCTGGCACAGAGGATAGAAATGCTACCACACATGTGCAGTGTGTGACTCCCAGCTATAAATCTTGGGGCAGATAATTCTCTTATCAGGAGAATGGGTGCCACCCTGCTAGAAAAGGAGGGCCTTACAGAAATTGCTTGAGGGGGGGAAAAAATGCTTTTTGTGAAGCGCCAATTTACGCCTTGCTGAGATTCATACTGTTGCTCTGTGCAGTATATAGATATTTACATAATTATACTATATGGTAGTAATATAGGACAAACTGCTGCCCCATGGTCCTACAATGATCTTCTATAACTTCTCTATCCTTGTGCACAATGTATTTTATTTTATTGGTGATGGGTTCTCAGCCTAGCTTGGCACCACGTCTCATCTTATTATTGTGGTACTGTGTGAATTAAACATCTTTTGGTTTCACCAGCTGTTCTGTGGGCATTCTTGAGCCTTTTAATTCATAACACTCCTGGTGATGAGTGTTTTGTGGCTGGAAAAAAAGCCCTGATTATTAGACTATGTGGTTCTTCGGTGATGCGGCCAAACTCTAGCTTTACAGATAGCTTTTGCTGGTTAATAGCTTGGGCTGTAACTAATCTCATAGCTACAGATCCCCTTCTGATTTCTATTTTGAGTAGATCTGTGCCTGGTTTATACAAACAAGCTCTCGAATCAAGTCTCTTCCTTCAGACAAGGATTCGGTGGCTGCTGTAAGCAACACAACTTGCGTTTCCATTTCTCTGCTGCTCGTAACTGGAGCTGCACATCCTCGGATCACATTTTCTTTTCTCACAGATGTGTCATGCTGACAGCTCACAGCCACCCTTTGATCACTTAATACGCTCGGCTTTTGTTGTTCCCGAGTTGCCTCCAGCTGCCAAGCGCCTATTTTCATAGCAGGAATTCTGCAGCAGAAATTAGCCGCTTTGTGCACGGTGGCTTTGCTCTTTGGACCTGCTGGCCTCCACCTCTTCCACGAGGTGATTACAGGCTTTATGTTAGTGGCGTTGCCTTGTCAGGAGACCCATCTTGTCCGTGTCTTTATGGTTCTGGAGACCAGAAGTGCAAAGTGCACTGGATCATCTGTAAACAAACATTCCCTAAGGACTTTTGAGAGAAAGCCTAACCACATAATTGCCCTATTTAACACCCCCACAGGAACGTTCATAAACTGGAAGAAGTGTTGGCTTTGGGAGTTACCAGCATAATTACATCATTCTATATGTTCCCTGCAAAGGCAGGGTTTAAAGCTGGCAGGAAACT